AGCAAAACAGAGGATACAAACACCAACAAAACAACAAAAAAATAAAACGAGAAAACAACAGAACACCAAAAGAGGAAAAGAAGAAAGCAACAAAAAAAAACAGAAAAAACAGAAGAAAACAAAAGAAGAGAGGAGATATAATGTACACAATTAAAATATGAACTAAAAACAGAAACTAACTAATATACTCTTTAAATAAACATGTAAACAACAAACCCTAAACCCTCGTATCACACAAGCAACACACACGCAAGATGTTTCAGGGTTTAGGGTTTAAGATGGTTTTAGGGTTTAGGGTTTAGGGTATACTGTATATCGGTGTAGGGTTTTAATTAGGGTTTAAGACTTGAGTATATGCAGTGAATGCATGAGGGTTTAGGGTTTAGGGTTTAGGGTTTAGGGTTTATATTACATCGCAGAAAGCTACATAATTTCCGTGTTTATCTTTGCCGTATATAGTGAAGGGAACGGCATTAAGAAGAGAAAAGAAAGCAGCTGGGGGCTTTCTTAGTATTGCTTTGACTTCTTCTTCTTTTCCTGGGACTATGGGGCCGCTCTGGTTATCTTTATTTTCATTTTCTTCTCCTTCTTTTTTTATTTCTTTGTTTTTTTCGTTGCTTTCTCCCCCTTCTTGTAGATCAGAAGAAGAAGTACCATCAGCAGCAACAGGCAAAGATACAAACAATACTGCTGCTGCTGCTAGCAGCAGCAGCAGCAGCAGCAATACACGTGGCTTAGAAAAAGTCTTCATTATCAAGAAAATACTGCAGCAGGTTTAAACCAGAAATAAAAATATTTAAACTAATAAATACAGAACTGAGGTGTACATACACCAATCGATGAAGGCAAACACAGCTACAGAGATTGTTATAATTCAAAATCAAAAGAAAGTCAAAGAAATGACAAATTAAAACAACCAAAGAAAATATCCACCCAGCAGAATATGTTGCTGCTGCTGCTGCTGTAGATGCTGCTGCTGCTGCTGCAGTTGCTGCTGCTACTTCAGTAGCTGCTGCAGTTGCTGCTGGCGCTGCAGTTGCTGCTGTAGTTGCTGCTGCTGCTACTCCTCGTGAGCTGCTCCTCCTTTCTCTGCTGCAAGTTCTTCAGTATGCAGCAGCAGCAGCAGCAGCAGCAGCAGAAGCGGAAGCAGCAGAACGGGCGCGTGTTGCAGCTGC